CCTTCACTTCCTTAGTGAACCCATGGTTAAAGATGGAGTGAAATGAAAGACAGACACACAATAGGCGTCTCTGTTGCCTTTTTCGTATACCATTCCTAAACATAACATAGAATGAAGCCACGAAGAATGTAAAACTGATTATCCCTTGTTGTAAATTACGTACACATATAACTACAATATCAGCAGTTTATTTACGGTACAAGGTATAAGTTTCCTGTTTAGGGCAATTCTTTCAGCAATATCCCTTGTGAATGTTGCTATTTCCTTGTGATAATGGTCACTGTTTATACTTCATTGGAAGTGTTTTTTTCTTATTTAAACTTCACACTTTTTCTAAAAAGAAAATACTAAAAAGGCTGCTGTCATTATAAAAGGAATCATCTGACCTTGAACAAAAATTGCAAAAATTTTGTTAAAATGTTTTCAATATATGATATCTCAAACAATTATCAAAACTGTTATTGATAGTAAAACATCAGTGACAACAATGACATATTCTTATGCCAAAGCCTGGTTGAGTGATACAATGATTTGGTTTGGTCAAGTGATGCTCTGTATAATAGTGATTCGATGATTTTGATTACATGTGTTGATCACCAACCAACAATAAATTATACATTACAGTGTAGAGTTATAACTAGCTTTTAACAACTATGCACAAATAATTCCAAATTAGATCTAACAACTTTCCAGTACACTATAAATCTACTGTGTAAATCTCCCACTGTTACAATTACGGAGGACATCTAACGATCATCAAATATATTCTATAACTTTTCACACTTGAAACAAATTTAATGCACAGATTCAACACCAGTAAGCCATCATTACTCTCCATAGCAGTCAACTTCTGCCATATATACAAATCCAAAGACAAGATAGAAAATGTTTACGTTGTTTCAACTATGTAAGGGATAAATTTCGCTATATATTCTAGTGTCAAGATGTGAAGATGATAAACTTTCAGGTTAGACAGAAATTTCTACCATTTTACTATCATGATAATCCAAATTTAGTTAAAATGTACAGGATATCATCAGGTTGTCACAAAAAATTATCAAATTCTCTATGTCTTTTTTTAAACAACTTGCACAAAATATTGTTAAATTCACGTAAATATTATGTAGTTTTACTGCATACTTACCATCCATTTTGTCTTTTATTTGTGTTACTATAGTATGTTACCTCAGGTAATGCATTTTAACGTATCTGAGGAAATCAAATAAAGTTGAAATTTACATCCAAAACACATTGTGGCCCCCTATTCAGGTTGTTAACTTGCATGAAACCATACAAGAATAATAATTACCGAACAACCTTGACATTTGGGATAAGCACTACAACTATAAAACGAGCAAGGATGAAGGTTTTAAAAAGAAGTAATGAAATACTATTAATTTATGAATAAAATTTGGGCCAAAAACCTTGCTACTACATAAAGACAGTGTGTAGGTGGTCTTAGTGTGGTTTTGTAGATAAATCTACACAAGAATTCATTTACTCACACAGCAGAAGTAGCACTAACATAGCTCATGGATTGGGGTCCTATACTTATATTGTATCTCATCATGTTTGATTTGTTTAGCAAAGTTAATACAAATTTTCTTAAAGTCATGGAAATTAGTTTAAATAATAAAAATAAATGACCTGCTATCTTTTTTTATAATAAAGTGTGTAAACACTGTGATCTAAACAACATTACACACTGTGTATTTTCAAACAAGGTTGACTACAAATTCAGAAATGAATCATTGTTAATAAATAAACTTAACAAAAGTGATCTTTTGTTCTACAACAATCTAACAGAAAGAATTGAGCAAGTTTTCTATAAAATGTAAAAACTTAAAATACAGCATAAAGAGCATAAAAGATTGTTATTCGAAAAAAAGCTGTTGCATAATCTAAGAAAACCATGAACAAACAGGATATAAAAGTATTACTACACTCTAATGTGACCCTGTTTTTGAAACTTGGCAATATTATTTCTTGACATCATTAAAATATCTTAACATGCAGAAAAAATTTACATACTTGTAAAAAAACTTTATATACAGGCAAGATAACTGGAAATCTTTGAGGCTTTTAATGTTTGTGTATAACTAATCAACAGCGATTTTACACAAATTATACCTAGCTGATTAAAGTCAAGAAAAATATCATTGGTTGCTTCAGCTGTTCAGAGAAAAACTGTACACAGGCCAGTTTTTTAACATAAAGGTATATTTTTTACAATGCATATCACACAGACTTAAATTTATCACATTAAAGCATTAGTTTTCTACACATCTATACCTAAGTCTGTGCATGTTCATTCTAATTTTTTACCTTTCACTTAAAATTTAATTGAAATTTGACAACATAATTGATACATGACATAGATTTAATTGACATGACACAATTTCAATTTTGCAACAAAGAATTTTAATCAATTGATGGCAATAAACCTTGCAGTAAAGTCTCTTGCAGTGAATTACAGCATTAGTTCGGTATGTTGTAGGATAAAAGATAATTTATACATTATATCTGTGATAACTTATCTCTCTTCAACAAAGTTTATTAGCTTCAGCTAATCATTCTGAACAACTGCAGTCACTGTAATCAACAAACCTTGTAAATTCTGTAAAGATATCAAAATCATTATATACTTTGTATTGGAAGGATAAAGTGTGTTATATAATGTTAGCATATCCTAGGTAGTCTAATGTTATCATATCCTGGGTAGTCTAAAATTATCATATCCTAGGTAGTCTAAAGTTATCATATCCTGGGTAGTCAAAAGTTATCATATCCTAGATAGTCTAAAGTTATCATATCCTAGGTAGTCTAAAATTATCATATCCTAGGTAGTCTAGTTATCATATCTGGGTAGTCAAAAGTTATCATATCCTAGGTAGTCTAAAGTTATCATATCCTGGGTAGTCTAAAATTATCATATCATAGGTAGTCTAAAGTTATCATATCCTAGGTAGTCTAAAGTTATCATATCCTAGGTAGTCTAAATTTATCATATCCTAGGTAGTCTAAAGTTATCATATCCTAGGTAGTCTAAAATTATCATATCATAGGTAGTCTAAAGTTATCATATCCTAGGTAGTCTAAAATTATCATATCATAGGTAGTCTAAAGTTATCATATCCTAGGTAGTCTAAAATTATCATATCCTAGGTAGTCAAAAGTTATCATATCCCAGGTAGTCTAAAATTATCATATCCTAGGTAGTCTAAAGTTATCATATCCTAGGTAGTCTAAAGTTATCATATCCTAGTTATCATATCCTAGGTAGTCTAAAGTTATCATATCCTAGGTAGTCTAAAGTTATCATATCCTAGGTAGTCTAAAGTTATCATATCCTAGGTAGTCTAAAGTTATCATATCCTAGGTAGTCTAAAGTTATCATATCCTAGATAGTCTAAAGTTATCATATCCTAGATAGTCTAAAGTTATCATATCCTAGGTAGTCTAAAGTTATCATATCCTAGGTATTCTAGTTATCATATCCTAAGTTATCATATCCTAGGTAGTCTAAAGTTATCATATCCTAGATAGAGTCTAAAGATATCATATCCTGGGTAGTCTAAAGTTATCACATCCTAGATAGTCTAAAGTTATCATATCCTGGGTAGTCTAAAGTTATCATATCATAGGTAGTCTAAAGTTATCATATCCTAGGTAGTCTAAAGTTATCATATCCTAGATAGAGTCTAAAGATATCATATCCTAGGTAAAGTCTAAAGATATCATATCCTAGGTAGAGTCTAAATATATTACACATCCCATGTAGAATCTGAATTGTTACATTTTAATACATTATAAAAACATTCATGTTATGATATTCTACTAAATAAAAATATACATGATACATTTTACTGAATTAAGGTATCTGATGCTAAATATATATTGTTGCTGTATTTCTTTATAATCGAACATAAATCTTGTGATATCTTATTTTCTGGTGTTCAAATTCCAGTGATGAACATTAAAAGCACCTACCATAAAATATGTACAAAATAGATTAAGTTTAGATGATTTTTCCTCAGCAACAAAAAAAAAATGTCCACTGTTACTGGTACTATGATTTGACTGACAGGAATGGCAAGAAAAAATTATCTATAACATTCATGACTAAGCACCTACATTTTGTTCTCTTGTTAATTTGTATGGTGTCTGTATGCATGTGTATGTTACCTGCATGCATATTACCTGTATGTATAATTATATTACCTGTATGTATGTGTGTGTAACCTGTATTTATGTCTATGTTACCTGCATTTATGGGTATTTCTCTGTATGTATATGTTACCTAAATCCATGTATATATATGTATGTAACCTCTGTTTGTGTATGAAACATGCATGTATGGATATTTACCTGCATGTATGTATATGCTTCCTGCATGTATGTGTATGTTACCTGTATGGATGTGTATGAAACCTGCATGTATGTATATGCTACATGTGTGTAAACTGTTTCTATAAGTTGATATGAGTAATCTGTAAATTTCTGAAGCTCACAATGTATTCAATGGTAGTATAGGTGTTACATATGACACCATTCATCTAACTTAATTGTCTGAGGAAGAAAATAATTCTTCAGCTGTGTAGCAATCTGGTGAAGCTAACACATGTTTGGAATCTCTTGTAAAGAAACAAATTGTTTAGAGATTTATACTGATAGGTCCTACTGAATCAAATACGATCAAATCTGTATAGTAAGATTTACATTGACGACCAAGACTCTTCATCATTCACAGATCATGATCTTACAATGTTCATCTTGAACAGTTCATGACCTGTAAGATCTCAATGATTCAGCCTTAATATATCTTAATCATGAACAGAAAATGATTAGAAATCATGAAGTAATGTTTAACAGTTAAACACATCATTGCTTAATGAACAGGTATCTAATAAAACACTTGTCCCTCTATTCTAGTGTGCATTACTAATTATTTGATACAGATTTACACCATTCCCATCCTTGAAACTTTTATGAAGTATTTATTACACCCGAGAGAAGGCTGGGAACTCCCTCACCCTACGGCGCCTTAACACATTCAACCAGTTGAGGCATGAACCTTTTCCACAAATTTCTCTGTATGCAACAATCTCCGGCCGCATTTGGATCCTAAAAAGACAAACAGAGAAAATTTAATTACAGTCTATATCATCACCATATCCTGTCAAAAGTGAAAAATTACATGCTATGGTGCAATACTAAAGTAACATTTGTGCCTAGTGAAGTTGTATTTACATTCACTGTCCCCTGAAACCTTGTTTATATAGAATTGGTGATATATATATAACTCTTACTTTATAGTGAAAATTGCCCTATACAATACAACAGTATCACACATGTTTACCTCCCTTTGTTGTTGACTAATGTACCTAGTGTACAACACAACAGTATTATACATGTTTACCTCCCTTTGATGTTGACTAATGTACCTAGTGTACAACACAACAGGATTATACATGTTTACCTCTATTTGATGTTGACTAATGTACCTAGTATACAACACAACAGTATCACACATGTTTACCTCCCTTTGATGTTGAATAATGTACCTAGTGTACAACACAACAGTATCACACATGTTTACCTCCCTTTGATGTTGACTAATGTACCTAGTGTACAACACAACAGTATTATACATGTTTACCTCCCTTTGATGTTGACTAATGTACCTAGTGTACAACACAACAGGATTATACATGTTTACCTCTATTTGATGTTGACTAATGTACCTAGTGTACAACACAACAGTATCACACATGTTTACCTCCCTTTGATGTTGAATAATGTACCTAGTGTACAACACAACAGTATCACACATGTTTACCTCCCTTTGATGTTGACTAATGTACCTAGTGTACAACACAACAGTATCACACATGTTAACCTCTATTTGATGTTGACTAATGTACCTTCTGTACAACCCAACAGTTCACACATGTTTACTTCTATTTGATGTTGATTAATGTACCTAGTGTACAACACAACAGTTCACACATGTTTACCTCCCTTTGATGTTGACTAATGTACCTAGTGTACAACACAACAGTATCACACATGTTAACCTCTATTTGATGTTGACTAATGTACCTTCTGTACAACACAACAAACCATACAGGAATGTTCATCCCTTTGATGTAACCCGATGTCCTGGTCAACAAACCAACACTCAACAGGTATACTCTTTTGTCTGATGTTTACAGAACCCTAAACATACTGTACTATACAATTCCTTATTCTGCCCTTTTGGTCTTGAATTTTACTTTATTTAAGAAAGTGAACTTGACTAATAACTCTTGATTTGTTCATAAAAGGTGTCCCTTAATCAATAGCAACAATTTAAGTTAGAAAAGAGCACTAAAATATCGGCATATTCCATAAATAGATCCTTTGCTGAAATTTTGAGTCTTAATTGGTAAAGTGATTTGCCTTGTTGAATAAATTGACTTTTCGTTTAAGGAACAAATGCTTTGTGTTGAACACACTTGCATGGTAGAGTGAGCTGCAATCCAGTTTTGTTGAACAAAAATGTCTTTGGTTTGCAGTATAAACTGAAATCTGGCTTTTTTTTTTTTTTTTTTTTTTTTTGTTTCCAAGTTAGTCCTTGGTCAGTAGAGCTGTTTTCTTGTCGTTGAACAAGCCTGTCCTTCTTGCAGGTCAGCAGAGATGATTTCACATTGTTAAACAAGGTCATCCCTGGTTGGCAGATTGAGCTGAAATCTGGCTTTGTTGATAAATGTTGTCCATGCTTAGCATGCCAGTTGAGGTCAGGTTTCAGTAAACAATGCTGTCTATGCTTAGCAGAGAGAGCTGAAATATGGTTTTATTGCACAAAGTTGTCCTTGGTTGACAGAGTGAAGTGAAATATGGTTTTATTGAACAAGACTGTCCTTGGTTGACAGAGTGAGGTGAAATATGGTTTTATTGAACAAGATTGTCCTTGGTTGACAGAGTGAGCAAAAGTGTGGTCTAATTAAACAAGATTGTCCTTGGTTGACAGAGTGAGCTAAATCCTTGGTTGGCAGAGTGAGCTAAAGTGTGGTCTAATTAAACAAGTTTGTCCTTGGTTGGCAGAGTAAGCTAAAGTGTGGTCTAATTAAACAAGTTTGTCCTTGGTTGGCAGAGTAAGCTAAATTGTGGTCTAATTAAACAAGTTTGTCCTTGGTTGACAGAGTGAGCTAAAGTGTGGTCTAATTAAACAAGTTTGTCCTTGGTTGGCAGAGTGATTTGATGTCTGGCCTTTCTTGAACAAGCTTTTCCTAGATTGGCAGAGTGAGTTGTACTTTTGCATTTTACCATCCAATAACTCCTGTGGGGGGTGAGTTGATATGTGGAGATGGACACAGCAATGTTATCTCCATCTCTAGTGTACCCTCTAAAGTACAGGTGTCCTACTGTAGGTCACCTGGTGCCAAGTAGCCGTGAATTAGTAAGGAGTCTGACACACAACACCATAAATTATCACATAGAATAAGGTGTATGTTACAGAGGTCTGCTACAATGGCCTTACAAAAAATAATCCAATCAAAGTTTGTATTTCACTGAAAATTCATATTTTATAAAATGTTAATGTGTGTAGTATTTTGTTTTAAATGATATGAACATAATATATCATATCTTGCAGTAGATCCACTTTAAAATAATTTTACCAGTTAAAGTTCACAAAGTTTGGAAGTTACCTAATATAACCTAGTAACATGACAAAATATATGAACTAATTCATTGCAGTAAAAACCCATCACCATCACCTACAAACTGTGTCATCACAGACAGCACAAATATAAAATACTAATGAAAATTCTCAGTTCATTCCGTCCTGAAGGTCAAAACCTCAAGCTAACAAGGAAGAGTGATTGTTCAATGCCACACCTGGGGTCAGTCCTTCCTGGGAGCTATGAAATACCTTGGACTGTCAGACCTGAGGAGAGGCCACATACCTGGTACACCCTGACCTCATAGTTCTAATGACATTTGTGGAAATACTGAACTGTTCACAATGGAATTTCTTAATTATCTGTCTGGGTTCTTGGCAATAAGTTGTCTGCAACATATTCATATTCTTATGACTGTCATCTTTAAAAGTGATAGGCACTGCTCATATCATTCTACATTGTTCAGTACCAGAAAAGGTAGATCAAATAGTTACAGCTAGACAACCTTCTATAAATATTTCATGTGTAATCCCTCACCTGTATTACTGGAGTAGACAATTCAGTTTGAATCATGATACAAATAGGTTTGTCAGTCACATGACTTTTGTACCTAAATGTCAAACTTCATCATCGTGATAAAAACTATTCTTAACAAAGAGCAGTAATCAGAAGCTTTTGAGCTTTAATACAATATCACCATCAAAGACTGTCATACACTTAATCCTGGCTACATGTCTCACTACAGCTTCCACTTAGTCAGAGACTTTGGGAATTGGGTTTTTTTTTTTTTGCTCTTGTTTTTTAGGGGGTGGTGGGGGGTGGGGGTTCAATCTGTGCATCTATCTATCTCTCACTGATTCTAGCCATCAAGCAATACTTCAAAAACAAGAATTTTCATGAAACCTTTCAATCAGATTTATTTCATATTCACTCCACAGTATCCATTGTTTAGAAACCTCAAATTCTACAATTAATCAGATTTTAGCAGTAATCGGACAAAAAGGAATGAATCAAAGGTCATATTTAACACTTTTAGTTTATAATCACACCATTCAAGTGCTGTTTTGGTGGTCATCAATCAAAATTAAAAGGGTCAAGGGTCACAATTGACCTCTTCTGAAATTCCCCAGGCAGTATCAAGAATAGGATTTCTGAAATTATCTTAAAACAAAGTTAAACATTACATTTTCTAATATCAAGTTCTAAAGAATCTGCAAAATACTGTGACATTTGTGTGTTCATGTAAGTATCCCTGACCTTGAAGCCTAGGACATTTGTGTGTTAATAGATGTAACCCTGACCTTGTAGGCTGGTCTATGATAGTTCAAGGTCAGACAACAGAGAGACAGACAAATACACAGACAAATCATTAGCGTGAAAATAGTTGGTATCTGGAACTTCCAAGCAGAAATGAACAAATAACATCAAGCAAACACATTGTACTAAAATCGCCTAATTTCAACATGTGGTTTTGTTTTTTTGAAATGTTCAAGGCCAATGTTCACAATGTACCTGTGAATTTAAGCACCCAGTCTTGCTGGATAATTACACAAGTTTTGAATATTTTGAAAAGCAGTCCCTGCAAGAAAATCTGCTTTTTATCAGGAATGTATGGTTTTTGTTGGTAATGAATTGGGATAGATTTTTGGTAACCCCCGCAGGGTCAGAACCTTACAGTTATATCTATAAGTTATCTTTTTTACATTATTCATCTTCCCACATAGCCGGTTAAGTGAAACATCATAATCGCAACAAAAAGCACACAAAAATCTTTATCTTGTAGAATTATATACATACACAAGAATTAAAAGAAAACATTTTTTATTGTCCACTGGGCTCATCAAATTAGAAACACAGACCAAAAATAAGAAAATAATTAAAGAATTTTTGAAATCATGAGAAAATCTAAACTACATACTCTATAAATGAATATATAAACTAAATGTCTCCAGTATTTTATTCAACTTTACACAAATACCTACCAGTGTGAGAATTAAAAAATCTACAGGCATCAACCACATCATGAACAAATACAAAGGAGATGAAAATATTTCTTTTAGAAATAAATTAATTTTGTAAGCATTGATTATTCATGGGTGAAAACCATGAGATAAACTTGCATATCAATTTGAAATCCAGATCTTTCATATGTTTATCACCTATTCAAATATGACGAGAATTCAAATGATTTAAGAGATTTGTGCCAGTGTTTAGAACATTCTTGGAAACCAACGCACGGGATCACAAAGTTACAAAATAAATTTCAGGTTAGATTGCAAAAAGGAATAAAACATTGTGGAACTTATAAACCTGTAGGATTCTGTCTGGGCGTATTACTAAGAGGTGGTTTTATGTAGCGTAACTAAGCACTATGATCTGTTCATGTCAGGGTAAGTTGAAATTTCTACAGTATGAACTATTGGCATACCGTTAAGGCCAGTGTCATACATATTGATGTAA